CACATGCTGAATTCTATACACTGGGATTGATTGACAAAATGGATCTTTTGGATTAATAACTCTCACTCAGAGTGCAATAGTTAATAAGTGGTTATTAACTATTAATAACTTGGAGTTATTAAGTGTAGCATGGTGGAAATTCTATTTTTCGTGTAACATAATTATTTATATTGTTTAAAGTAGAATTACAATAGTGTAACCAAATGCCAGGGTAAAGTGTAATAATGAATGTGTATTCAAATTTTGCACATAAACGCCTTCATATATTCTAAGTCTAGATCAGAAAAGATCAGAAATTCCATTGACATTTTATTAGTAAACTTTTTGGTGTGAATATGGGAAGGAAACGAAGCAATTTTGGACCTTGTGAAATTTGTAATTTTAGCAATTATGAAAACACTACCTTCCAGAAGTTAAATGAAGATTCCTTACGAAAAGTTTTCTCTAATAACAAAGAGAATTTATGTGTTTTAGAAATAGGTTCACAGTTATGCCATAAATGTTACAATGATCTTGTAGTATATGATAGGAATGATAAGAATAATAAGAATAATGATGATGAAAATTTTTGTTTAAAATTACCATTACATGAAAAAAAAAGAAAATTTATTTTACATGAAGCTGAATATAATGAATTAATAAATAAATCATCAGAAAATATTCAACTTAAGGCAAATATTCAATTTATACAAAATGAATTAGACCAATTAAAAGAAAATTTTGATGAATTATTTTTAATATCAGGCAAATAATTTATATTTTAAATATAATATAAAAGCATCAAAAAATTTTACATTTTATATATATGTTTATTATACTTATTTTAATATTACTGTTTATTTATTTTTAGAAGAAACAAATTTTTGTAAATATTTTACAAAAGAAATAGAAATTTTAACAAAAATTTTATACGATGCTCAACATAAGGAAAAAATAAATCCAATCTATAATGTAAACAATTTTATGGAATATGTGAGTAATAAACATCCTGGATTTGTTCATTTTTTTAATACATTAGTTCAATCAACAAATATTAAAAATAAAAATCAAAAAACAATTGAAAGTATTAAAAAAAAAATTATGGTATTAATTTACCAGTTAGTAAGTATTAGAAATAAACATTGTACTTATTTTAAAGATGATATGGGATTGTTTTTAGTCGGAACTGGCACATCATGTTCTGGAATTAACATGCTATCAAATGTTGGCTTATCAACTACTTATCGTTCATTAATTAACAAAATGAATAAAATAGAAAAAGATCATGCTTTGAGTGTACTAGAATATTTAAAAAAAAAGGTAAATAATTTTATTTATATTTTATAATATTTTATAATATATATATTATTTATTAAAATTAAAATTAAAAATTTTTTTTTTAGAAAATTAATACTTTTATTTTAAATATAGATGACTATCATGACATACACCAATCAAGAATGCCAAACACTACTTCAACTTCACAAGTTGCACATATGATGACTATGACAATAAATACTCCAAATATCCCTTCAATTTATTACTTATCTCCATCTGGATTCAAAGTACATAATCCAAATCTTGTAGACTCTAATAGTTTAATATATTATTTATATAATACATATATGAACAAATTTAGTGTTAGTTATATAAATAGAAAATCATTTTGGTCAGTTCCAGAAATGACTCTCTTACCTGAAAAAGAATTAATAAACACATTATCAATTCACTCATACAATACCAACTGGATTCAAGAAGATATGTATAATATACGTACAATGGATTGTGTTAAGTTGATTGAATTTCAAGAGTTGAATCTTAAATCACTGGATGATTATTTAAAAGCAGCAAATTTTTTATTTCAATTTTCTGAAATTCAAGATTATATTCAAACAAATATAATCCCAATATCAGCTGACTGGCCTGGCCAGTTATATATTCGTAGTGCAATTACTCAAAAAATTTTAAAGTTAAATAATAATATTCCTGATCAAATAACTAAGTTAGTTCCTTTAATTGGTCCTCTACACATCTCACTAAACACACGTGAAACAACATATAAAATTTTTTATCCTTTTTTTAATAAGCTCTATTTGTATGTTTTTAAGGCTAAAAAAGATCTTGGAGAAAGAATATTTCCATGGAAAATTAATTTACTTCTATATCTAAGTTATGGTGGTTGGAAGTTAGTTAGGCAAGAAATCTTAAAAAAATTTAAACTATGTAAAGATATTGAATATGCAACTAGTATTGACTTGTTAGATAATATCATTCCCTCTGTGTTGGATATTTATGGAGTTTTATTTCGAGGAGGATTTTTCGATGAATATATTGAAACTTTATTTCGTGTATGGACTTTTATGGCAAGATTTAAAAGAAAAAATTATGATAAGGCTATTTTGGCTTTTCTAAGTGATATTTTTTACTGGAATCAAATTAATCATCCAATTTACAATTTTATTAGGCAATACTTATCACTATTTCATGATAGTTATGTAGAAAACTTTCACTCTTTATTACGTAGATACACATCTGATAAAGGTTTTGATCCAAAAAGATTAAGGCGTGATGCTTTAGTTATAGATACTGAAAAACATAATAATAATTTTTTAAATGCATTTGTTGAAAAAAAAAAATATCCTTATTCAAAAAAAAATATAGATTGTATGCTAGAAAGATCAGCTATATTTTTATTACAATACTTTGAATCAGTTTGGAATAATTTAGGTAAAACACAAAAACTTACAAAAAGAAAAGCAAATGAAAAACAATATTATGATCTTCCAACAATGGGTAAATTATGGGAAGTTGCTTTACCAACAGCTTTTCTTTCATCACACATTCCTAATACTCAAAAATTTTGTGATGCCAACTTTTGTAAGATTTTAGATCAAAATATTCCAAGCTATTTTTTAACTTGTGGTCATTCATTTCATATTATTTGTTTTAACAGGCAAAATAATTTATGTGTTTATTGTTACCAATATTTTTCAGAAAAGATTAATCAATTAGTTCCTTCTTTTATTGAAAGATTGAAAAAATCTGGACAAGATAACAATAAAAAAAAGAAAAAAAAGAAAGACAATGATAATGATAGTAGTAGTTCTGAAGATGAAAAAAATATTAATGATAATGATGAATTTATAATTTTTCAAAATGATGATTCTGCAAATAAACAATTAACTGAAGCATTAAATAAGTAAGTACCAACAAAAAATTATTTTAACTTTAAAAATTTATAATTTAAATTAATAAAAAAATATTTATCTAAATTATCCAATAGGTTTCATAAAAATTGTAATTAAAAATTAATATTAAAAAATAAAATAAAAAAAAATTCTCAATTAATAAAGTGTATTTATATAATAAAATTTTTTAATTATAGATAATATAATAGTTATTATAGTAATTTTTTAAAATGATAATAAAAACAAACATTCGCAAAGAAAAAAATATTTAAGTTTTTTTATTATTAATATTTTTATATTTTTATTATTATTTTTTATTATTATTTTTATTATTCTGCTTTATTAAGGTAAAGCAAAAAAATCATTATCATCATATTTTATTTATATATATATATATTATCCCTCCTATAAAATTATAAAATAATTTATTTATTTATTTATTTATTATTTTACACGCCAAAATAATTTTTTTTTTTTTTAATCATAATTACTAATTACCGAGATTTAATGAATTGCGAGTGTGATTTGAATTGAGATGAATTTGGGAATGAAAAGTTGAATTTGAAACTGTAGCAATTGAAAAAATTAGTTGAAGTTGAATAAAACAATAATAATTAAAATTACCATAATTAATAATAATAATAAGACAACAAATATCATCATTTCTTAACATCATCAGAACAACAACAATGAATAAAAATATATAACAAATTAATTAAATGAAAATAATGATTTATTATTTCATTTGAGTAAATTAAAAAAAATTGACTTGAAAAGGAATTAATTCGATACTTATTATTATCAATTATCATCCATCATTAATTAATTATTAATTCGTTATTATTGTTTTTTGTTGGATAATAAATAAATAAATTTATATATTTATTTATTTATTTATTTATTTATTTATTATTATAAATTGTACATTATAAAAAAAATGTCATTGTTTTTGAAAAAGTAATTCTGTAACAATAAAACTCAGCCACTAGCAAAAAAAGTTATAAAAAATAATAATAATGTCATTGTAACTTCTTTAGTAATTATTTATTTATTTGTTTATTTTATTTATAAATATTGTTAATATTATTTGTTAATTCGTTGATTTTGGTACAACAACTTAACTTAATAATGAAATATATATATATGTCCCCAATCTCCACTAATTTGGCTTTATATTTTAGCATTTTTTTAAAGTTTTCAAATAAAGATCAATTCACCTAATTAAAATTCAATTAATCACTAAATATGTCTGTGTAACTATGTGTATATGTGTGTGTGTATATATGTATTAGTATATATATATATATATCTACATATACATATATACATATATATATATATATATATATTTATGTAAAAACCAGTTTTTCATTAGACAAGAGATTTATTTGTGTGTATTGATTTTAAAAGGAAATATTTGTCATCGTCCATCGAGTAGCCGTCAAGTAGCCGCAAAGTGATTTTAGAAAATTTTACATGATAGACTTTACTTACTATTCAAAGTATTGTCTGTCATCTAAGCAAACGTCAACATCAAAGATTTTATTGTGGCGATTCCTTTATCTTTCTGATATTGATCAACGAAAGCACCACGATTAAGAAAGACTTTTTTGTCACCATCGCACCACATTCTCTGTGGAAAACTTATTCTCGATAAAAACAAAAAAAGTGTGACACACTTTCTCTACCATCATCATCATCTTTATCATCGGTCCCAGAATCAAAATTCAAGCATAAACAATAACGATGAAAGAAGACAGCATTGGCAATATAATTAAAATTAGAGTACAGTATAGTATATCCATCCATGCAAAAGAATGTGGTTTATGGAAAAAGTGTAGTGTGTCATCTTGGATAGTTAGCTATCAATCCATCCAATCATCATCGACTCAACAACCAATTAATGCCGGTGATGAAGTTGATCGTAGAAAAGTCAACAACTATTTGTGTCCAGCTCAACATTGTCGTGAGTCACTTTATTTCTATATGTTAGGACTGTTACATTGTAATAAATAAATCCTAGAGGCCAATGACTTGTAAATCTAAACTACCGCGTCACACATACTGTATGATAGATAGATAAAAGAACCAAACCTTAAAGGGGAAATTTCTCTATCACGTAGATCTAACTCCAACTTCCAATCATAGATGTTCAATCAACATCCAATTACGACCGTCGTACTTTTCACATGACGATTTAATTTGATTGTCGTGTCATATTTCATAACTATAACTTATATAGAACAAGAACAATATATAATATATGTGATTATTGCTATCATTATATTGTTGTTCTATAATACTCATGTATTAATATAGATTAATTACTTCAAAATATATCTACAGCTATACATAATTATTCTTTCTTTCTCATACACAACTTTCTCTCTCTCTTTAAATATTAATGAAATGATCCTAAAATGGTTTAGTTTCATTCCTGATTCCTCCCTTTATTATTTCTTAAATAATAAATAACATCCAATTAATGGGGCCTTTTCTAGTCCCCATTTATCTATCCCTAAAAACAAAATTAATTGATTTATTCATAAAGGTAATACAAAAGGCACAGAAATCAGACATTTTGAATGAATGAATGAAAGAGCAACATTTTTAATAATAAAATTAAGAATCTGTAATCGATAAATTGGGGGAAAAAACAAAAACAAAAATCAATCGGCAATAATGAGCGAGTGAGTGAGCGAGTGAGTGAGCGAGTAAGTGAAAGCAAGTAAATGAATGAATATTATTAGTTTTTTCAATTGTTCTCCTGAATAATGTCGATTCTATATTTTTTTTTATTTTAAAATAAAAAAATTTTTGGGCCAAATTTTAAATCAATCAAATCAATCAATCATAAACATTCAGGATTAATTCCCTTATTTATTCATAAATAACATATGACACACTATTTTATTAACTGAATTTATTCAAACTCAAATTTGACAGAATACTCCCTTTTTTTAATAAAAATGAATTTGGGGTACTGCTGCACATGCACACAAAAACTTTTAATAATTTTTATTATCTCTTTTTTTTTCTCTTTTATCTTTCATACATACATATATATAAATATATATAATTAATACATAAATTATAAAAAATATTTATATATAGATACATAAAACAATAGCAGATTACTTATTATTGCCACTGCAATTACATTTTTCAATAAAAAAATTAAAAAAATTCCAAAAAAAAATTAAATTAAAATGTCACTGTCTGAAGAAATTCCCTCTGAACGTAAAAGATCCCTTCCTTCTGACGACGAAGAAGATCATATTAGTGGCGACGATAGTAGAGGTCGTTTCAAACGTCCGGCTTTAAATAACGATAGCACTGATAATGATATCACTGACAACAACATAATTAATCCTATCAAAAATGAAGAGGATAATAATTCTACTGAATTTGCTTTTCAAGAAGAGGTAAATGGCGAAGAACGTGCCGCGTCACCCGCTTTGGAGTCACCGGCTGCCACTGCTGCTGAAGTGTTGGAGGTAAACGTTCGTTCACCTGTTGCTACCGAAAAAGAAAAAAACGTTGAACAAGAGTCTACTTTGGCAACTATCTCTCTTCGTGCTTTGGTCACTACAAAAGAAGCTGGTGTTATCATTGGTAAAGGTGGTAAAAATGTTAGTGAAATTAGAGAAAGATCGGGTGCTAAAGTAACTATATCTGAAATGGTTCAAGGTGCATATGAAAGAATTTTAACTGTCACCGGTCCACTAGATACTGTTGCAAAGGTAAACATTTATTATATAATATATATATATATATATATATATATATATATAATTAATACAATTTTTTTTTTTTTTTTAAGGCATTTGCGCTTGTAGCACGTAAAGTTCTTGATGAAAATTTAGATGCTCCTTCAACTGCTAATTCTAAATCTACCACTATAAGACTTCTTGTGGCTCATTCTAAAATGGGACCTGTGATTGGGAAAGGTGGTTGCAAGATCAAAGAAATTCAGGAAAAATCAGGTGCTAGATGTTTAGCCTCTGAAGATATGTTACCTCAATCAACAGAACGTACCATTTCTATCACTGGTGTACCCGATTCAATTCATATTGCTGTATTTCATGTCGGCGAGGAGTTAGCCAAACATCAAAACGATAGAAATGTAAACATCACTCTATACCGTCCTCAACCTCGTATTATTTATCATCAAGCTGCTGCTGCTGCTCCTTCTTTAACTGCTGGTAATCCATTTTATGTTGGTCTTCCACCAGCTCCCCCTCCATATGGTCGTGATTTCTTACCAGGTCCTCCACCAGGTCCTCTTTCTGCCGCTCATCACCACCAACCTCCACCAGGTTCACAAGCTCAACAAATTTTCATTCCTAATGATATGGTTGGCTGTATCATTGGAAAAGGCGGGAGTAAAATTAATGAAATTAGAAATCTGTCTGGATCTCATATTAAAATTGCTGAACCACATGGTAATACTAATGAACGTTTAGTTACCATCACTGGAACTCCCGAGTCAAATCAAATGGCTCTTTATTTGTTATATAGTCGACTTGAATCTGAAAGGAGGAAGCCTAGTGTGTAAGTATCTTTAGGATTTTTTTTGGATTTTTATCAATAACCATATAATAATAATAAATTATTATAACTAGGGCAGCAAAGTCAGCTGTACGAATGTATAAATAATCAAATAGTTAGTAATTTATATTATAACACAAAAAATGAATAATGCTCATTCGCTCATACATATTATATGTGTGTGAGTGTACGAGAGTTATCATATCAAAATTCTTTTAAATACATATAAATAAATAATTTTTCTTTTTTTTCTTTTCTATTTATGATAACCAAAAAATTCAAAAAAAGCAATGAAAAAATTAACATTTTTTTCTTCTGAATAATTTTTTTTTCTACTACTACATCAACATTGCAAATACATTTCTTTTTACATTTTCTTTTCTTTACAATTTCCTTTTTTTTATAAATTATACATTTCTTCTTTTCTCCTTTTTATTGTTTGATACATTAAAAATAGTCTTTGAATTATATATAAAAACAATGACAACAACAACAAAAAGCAACGACGACGACGACGACGATAATGTTGATAATGACAAGGATGAGAGAAAGATAAATATGGGAGAAGGAGAAGTGGATCATCAATTTAGCATCATTAACTTTTGAAAAAAAAACCAAACGGAAATAATAATAATAACAATAACAATAATAATAATAGTAATAATAATAATAATAATTGGGAGAAAAAGAGAGAAAAAAAAAGGAGAAAGCAAGAGAACTATAACCATTTATTTATTATTATTATTATTATTATTATTATTATTATTATATTTTCTCATTATTATTATATCTAATTTTTTTCTTCTTTCTTTTTTTGATAAAAATAAAAAATAAATTAACGTACATATTTTATCATCCTACCTACTACGATTATCTTAATCACACTATAATTAATAAACCCTATAAAATATCACACATACTATTAATTATATTAATCCATCCCCACTATTATTATCATCATTATCATCATTATTATTAGCTCACCCACTCATTCATTCATTCACCCATATAATTAATCAATCCACATAGACTCTACACAGATTCCACACAGTTTTAACCGATTTAATTAACCCAATTAACATATCATTATCATTATTAACCAAAATATCTTCCACTCATCAATCAATCAATCGTTATTCCTAATTAACCTAATCATAAAATTATTATCATTCTATATCTATACATCTCTCTATACATCTCTACTCTCTAGTACTCATTACAACATCATCGTTATCACAATCTTTTCATTTTTTAAATCCATATCTATTTCACTTTTGTAAATATTTTCACCATATCACATATTATCATCATATTACACATACATATTATATATACTAACTAATCTTATAACACACAGACAACTCACGCACGCACACGCACACGCACACACACAATAAAATATATATGCATAGACACATTTTTAAAAAAATTTAGTTTCTTCAGTTCTATATATGTAAATATAATTAATACATGTAAATAATATTTTGTAAATTTTTTATTTATTTAATAAAAGCATAATAATTTTACGTTGTAAAAGGTGTACACGTAGGAAATTTTACTGCTTATTTTACAAATTACAATTTCCATTAATAAAAATCGTAATTATTTAATTAATAAATAAAAATCTCAATCCTTTTACGACCAATTGCATCAAAGATATTATATCATTACATTTGCATTCTTGATAATTAAATAATTTTAAATTCACTCAACTATTGCTATAAATATTAATTACTAGATACCTGGTTTGTTTGTGTACGCGAATTAATTGTATCACCATGTGTCACTTCTTTAACCATATATTATATATAACCGGGTCTTCATCCATACCTTTGACATTATCCAATAATCATCATACATTCTGATTGTTGCTAAACATTCTTTTTTAAAAAAATTTACGGATTTTAGTCCAATTCAGAAATTTCATTAAGTTGATAGGAAGGAACTCTGACAATGAGTGAGAAAAGTCTCTATTACAAAGTTATTTATTTATTACCTAAATTCCTAAATTTCTTCCGTCGTTACTAAATTAGAATTAGATAGTAATAGTAAACTTTTTTTTTAACTGTCACTTAAAACTTGTATAATGAGAAAGAAAATTATTTATTTATACATGTGGATTCCTGCTATCATAACGTTATAATTATGACGTGAAATGAATGAATTTATTTACTATTACTATTACTATATATTTGCTATTTTACCTACTATTAAAAATGAAATTTATCCGTTTTTATAAAATGGTTTTTTTTAAAACTTGCTTCCTTGACAGTTTCTGCCATTTTCAATCTACATATTACAATTGGAGGTTTACGTCATCATAATCATCTGATTATGATATTAGCATTAACTAATATTACCACACTACTATCACTATCACCACTATTACTAGTAACTACTAACTGTAAGAGTGGCACAAAGACATAAATATTTTTGGTGTTACACAATGAATCCTTTTAGACAAGTGAGACAGACACTCACTCATTGACAAGCACACTAGAAGAGTTGTTATTTAGTATGGTATTGCACTTAAGGAGAAGATGAATTGTTTATGCCTATTTTTTTTAATAAATCTTATTGTAATTAAAACACAGTACAAGATTTGGATTTGTCATGTCTTCTAGGTATTTATTACAAAGTTCTCTACAAATGATTAATGTATTTTGTTTTCGTAACTGTTATTAATATTAAGTATAATAAATAATTTTAAGAAAGTGAAAGATAACATGACTATTGGAGATTGAAAAATGGTTCTTAGACGATTTGAAAAACAATTTGATATGCAACATTTAATCTACAAATGTTAAGATATGCTACTTTATCTAAAACACTACTATTATTCTCATCTTTCCCTTGTGTACATAAACTGACTCTGACTCGCATCCCTCAATGATACAATGATGCAAATGAATTCCATGAGACATGTCATGGAATTTCTGAAATTGCAACATTGTTAAGGACATTTGTGTGTATATTAATCTTTCCTCATGGTACCTGACCAAGGAAGGCTAAAAAATTGTCAACAACAAATCCTACTTCTAGGGCAAAAATGGCTCTGCAATGGATCTAGAATATTACCAAGGTACTCTCAAATTAACATAGCGTGTATTCAATTTTAGGAGATGATTGACAATAGTTGACCAAATATTGAAGGCAACAATAATTTTCGTGCTACAATATTTTGAATCTCACGACTAAATTTGGTAATGATTTTCTTTTAATGTAATATGGGGCATACTGCAACAAAACCAGACAAAGTGAACATTGGACCAAAAATTTCAGGGATCAAAATTTAGTCATTTGTAATGTGATTATAATTATCAGTTTTATAATATCCCATTTGTTATCTTAAGTGATACATAGAACTGTCCCTATATAAAAATATAAAATTATGAAACTAATTTACACTAGGTCTACAATGGAACCCAAAAATTACAGCACCATTAGAAGTATTTTAAAAAAGGAGCAAGGTGAAAAGATTGCTCCTTATATTTTCAAAATAAATGACACTCAGACACTGGAGGCTTATCTAAAAAGAGAAAGGATTACCTATGAAATTTACCAAGAAGAAAGACAAATAATAAATGTTAGAAAAAGGAAGCAGCATGAAGGTGCATTATTATCCAACAAAAGCAGGAGTCTTTGGAAGAAGGAAAATAAGTCATATTATTACATGTTGATCCATTTTTTCTTTTTAGTCCTTTTAGTAATGTTGTATGTGAAATTGAAATTATGCAAATTTGAAATTCACATACAACAGTATTATAAAACCTAAAATTAAATCCTATTTGAATTACTAAAAAGAGCTTCTAATTGAAAATGCCACATCAAAGTAAATTCACTTTTTAATAAATTTAAACATTTGCTTATTTACTTCTTTTGACTTCTTTTATTTGAAGTAATTTTTTAGCTTTTTTAATTAAAGTAAAGTATTTTCATGATATTTTTTAGGATCATATTAACTCAACATTAACTTGATGATGATGATGTTAAGGAAAATAAAAAAACATCTTTATGTACATGTATATTAAATTATTTGCCAAAAATTTTTTATTAAACTTTTTTTTCATGTGTTTAATAAGTAAATATGTTATAATCGTTACAATACATTCCAATCATTGACAAAAATCAAATCATTATCGAATATGGAAAGGATGAAAAAAGCCAAAAAGGAACCATGATTTCAGCAATGATTCCCACCATTTAACCAAATTTTAGATCATTGAACTGATCAGATAAAGGTGGCAATATTGTTTTTAATTTGTTATCAGTCAGGATGTCGAGTTTATGATAGGTTTTCCCATAAAGTAAGCATTAATTATATAATATGCACATATTGATTCACAAAATTAATTATTATTTATTTAAAAAAAGAATCGATAAGATTACAGGGTTGATGTGGAAATTAAAGATGGAGGTGTGCAGATGCTAAGACTAAAAAAAAAAAATACCTATAAAATAAGAGGATTTTATATATTTTTTTAAATCAAACAATGTAACTGATTATGAAGAATATATTATTCAATAAAAGGTTATAGAAAATCAAATCTTTTTGAAACTATTTAGTTATCAGTTGAGCTATTTGAAAACTTCACTGAAATCTTTTTTACATGATGGATTCGTCACCCTAGTTAAACTAATAAAGTAATGCAACAGTAGTACATTTTTATATTTAAAAAAAAATTTATTTATTTTATTTATTTGTTTATTGTTTCATTAATGCATATATATTTTTTGAGGAGATGAATTTGATTGTTGGCAATATGATGATGCACCAAGTAAATGTTGAGGTGAATTTGAATTAATAACAACAACAGTAGATTTTATTCTTTCCTACACAAACAAAATAATTAAAGATTACACCATGAAGAAACTTGCTCAAGTAATACAAAGTAAATGTTATTAGACTTACCAATAATGAATAAAGGGTTGATATTACGGTAATTATGGTTAAAAAGTTTGCATTTTCCATTGGTAATAATATTTTTGATGTCAAATTAAAATGGTATAAACCATCATAGACCAAGTCCATTGTAAATATTCTAATTGTATTTCCTGTTAGATTTATATCTAGTTAACAGATTAGTCTAACCAAACACCAATTAAAGTTATAATATTGACAACCTTACCATAAATTAACATTCCATAAGTTTCAAGACCATCTATGTAACCATAACAATCTATTAAATAATCTAATGAGCCCTTCATAAACTCTGTGATCTTCACTATGCTTTCATTCATGGAAGATTTTACATGTGGAGGTTTAACCTCACCAAATAAAATTTCCTTGTTTGTACCCCTTATTTTTGATAAAATCTGGAAATCAGATTTTCTACCACGGTTTCATTTATCCTTTTTTCTTCTAACCTTTGAGCTTTCAGATTTGCCATTTGCCCTTTCATTTAATGACAAATTATGAAAATATAAGCATATGTTTATATAGTTGTGTTACAAAATTTAAACTTACCAAACCAATGCAAAATCATCTTTATTAAATATTTCTTCAAGGATATTGTGATGATATCAATGAATGAAAGTGTCTTCATCCAGATCTTTATCACTATTAAAACTTACTGAAGATAGATATAAAAAACTGCAGAATAAATGGACATAAGTACATAATTACAATATTGTCAACAAAGACACAAATTTTAGAACTTACAAATTTCTTGCAACTATCTGTGCACAATCAAACATGTCTTTATCCTCCTTTGTTGATAATTCATTCCATTTTGACCAATTTCCATGCCATTTTTCATCCAAAATCTAAATTACAAACAGAACAAAATGTTTTATTATTTTACTAAGTGTTTGTTACTAACACACAGGAAGGATGATAGACAAGACTTACAAGACTGTATTCAATTATCATTTGATTTACAATAGATGGTAATGTCTTTGGAGTTAATGATATTGGACAAACATCATTCCATACCTTCTCTGAACATGTTATAAATTTTGATTTCATCTCATTACAATATATTATTGATGATAAACATCTGCCAGTATGTGGAAAAGTTAATAATTAGTGTCAAAATTCCCATTAATTTGCATGACAGAATACTTACAGAATCAATCACACTGGGTTTAGTAGTTGATTGCAGTCAATGACTATACCTAAGTGACTGGGTTCTGTAATTACTTGTAAAAAATAATTATTTGTTTGCAATCAATACAAATGACAATTTCTACACACAAGATCACAGAAACAAAAAAAAAACTTTAAGGTTGTGATTATCTACGATTTTATTAACAACCTGCCTCAAAAATTTTCATGAAATAGATGTATACTATAAAGAAACTATATATCAAATTTGGTGATGATTGCTAAACAACAAGGGCACTAAACTGGGGTTTGAAGGTATTCAATTGTAAATTTTACTATGAAAAATTCGATGCCGATCATCAAAATTAACTATGTTTTTGCAGTAGTACAATCAGGGATATTTCCATATCGGGATTCGTTTCCAGAATAGTCTACTGATCAATTCATTATACATTACAAATGAATCCACAAGATACTTCTTGTTATATCTATGACATTTTCTAAAAATAAATCAGTTTATAATAATTGAAAGAAATACTATTAAACTTGCTCTTTCATAATCTGTTAATAATCTGTAATAATCTGTTGATTTGTTCAAAGTACGTTTTTACTAAAATTAGAAATTTATGACTAGAATTTAATTTTTATTGGTTTTTAGACCATTATGTTTGTATTGTTTGCATGAAGATATTGCAAACAAATATCCAGAAAGCCAGCTGATCCCATGTTGGTGCAAATCTTATTATTAAGTATATTCAGAATCACCATTACTATATTTATTCATGTAAATTAATTTGTTAATAACAATATA